ACCACCGTATTGCACAACCCTACAGGTGTACCTTGAGTGCTTCCACCTAGCTGTAAAATTGCCCCGATAAACCTGACTTTGTCATCTCTCTGTTACAGCACAACATGCCTTTCTGGAGGATCACAAACCATGCAGACCTTGTGTCCCTTCACCAAGCCCTCGAGTTAGACTTCCTGTAAGAAGTTGGAGCAAAGGCATGACTGCAGCTCCTGCAAGCCCTCTCCATCACTCGGGAAGCAAAAATCTCATACATCTGGGGACTCTCTTTTCAGCTTGATGAAGAAAACATACCTAGTGCAAACTGTACAGTAGAACATGCCATCGGGTCATTTCCTCAGGAGCACAGGCCCTGCCAAGTACAAAGGTGTCCTGCAAAGAGGCACTAGACTCGGCAAAGCTAGAGCTTGTCTGAAGAAGAGACTTACAGAAGCCAGCTGAATTCCTCTAGCAGGTAGTCTCCAGAGGGAGGGCGTGATACAACAGCAGAAGTATTTCTAAGAGCCTTCTCCTTTCTATTCATCTTAGTTGTAGAACCCAAATAAACACAAAACCTTATTTTTATAGAAAAATACTGATGGCAGAGCTGAACCTCCCTTGTTTCACAAAGCCGAAAAGAGCTATGTTTTTTTCCATGGGAAATATTAATGAAAATGTCAAGAATACCTCTACTGCTGTGAAATGTGTCCTCTCTCCTTCCCTGGGTATTCAAAGCAGTTAATTTATTACAATGTCCTTATGTTATTTCCTCAACATGGGATTACTGGAAATAGGAAGATAATATTTCTGGGATATGTGGTTCCTTGTAGAGGAAAGTGTTGGTGTTCTGAGTTGATCCAGGTGGTTTCTAGTCAATGTGTGTACAAGCCCTGATAAAAAGCAGGAGATCATTGGATTATTCCAGCTATCCATGACCCAGACCGTAGATCCCACAGATTTTCCCTGTAAAGGAATACAGAACTGCCTGTGAACATTGGATACGGCACAACACTGTTGCAGACTGCTCAGATGTGAACAGAGTCCTCATCTGGACTAAGAATAGTTTGAGAGAACTAAATCCTCATGAATGTTACAAAGAAGGGTGTGGTTATTAACCTTCACCTCTGCTTTCCTGACTCCATTTGTGAGAGTAAGATCCTTTTAGTAGAATCAGATTCAATTTTCTTGTATTTTTATTTACATTAGCCTAACTACATAGTTAGAAGCAAAACCCTTGTTAAGAGGGACTTAATTTTCTAAGACACTGTGACTTGGCAGCCTGGAGCACGCTGGCCTTCACAGTGATGGTTATGCTGATTTTTCTGCTGCCATCTCAAAAAAAAAGGCTGGAGTCAGTGACCTGCAGTACCACTGGTCAGAAATAGCCAGCTGTGGACTGGGGGCTGGCACAGGGCGCTGGTTTCACGCCAGGTCAGGCTGTGTTCAGTGGTACCTGGCTACTCCCTGTACCCGGCTGGCACCAGATCAGCAGGTGCCTGGGTTTTCTGCATAGCAGAGAGATGTCTGCTGCGCCCCACCGCATGCCTCTGCTGTTCCTGCTGTGCCAAACACCGCAGCTGCACCCAAATCCCTCCAGATCTCCGGTTTCCCACCCAGGGTCACATGTCTGGGACCCACTGGGGAGTGGTCTGAGAACGTGTCACTTCAGGGAGGACACTGACCCACTCAGGCTGTGCCCACAGAAGCAGGCGATGTGATTGCTGCATTATTTTCATGGCATTTGTTACTGAGGAATAATTTCCATCAGTGCTGGGGTTGTTGCAGGGCCAGCTTGGGACACGCTCCTCTGTGCCCTGGGAGTGTCTCTTCCTGGGCCAGCTCCAGTCACCACCACGGAGAAGGTGCCTAGAGCAAGGGGTTTGGATCCCCAGCGGTAGGGGACTGGACACAGAGGTCTCTTTTTCACATATTCCTGGCTCCAGTTTTGCTTTTTAAAAAAAAAAAAAAATAAAATTGCAGATTCTCCAAGGTGGTCACAGGAGTTGGGAGTGGTCTTGCTTTCCTTCCAGCTCCTTGCTAGGTGTTGGCCTTGTGCTCTGATCTCAGGTGGATGCTCTGGGTCTGCCTATTTCCCCAGGAAGTCTCTGCTTCTGGAACATGCCAACTTGTGAAGAAGCTGCTGCCTGCAAGCAACATGACCTCTCGTCTCATTAGAAAAATCTGAGGAGCCCATTTCTGCTGTGGGTGTTACTGAACAGCTCAGTGGAGGGGATGTCTCTGGGTTGCACTGGCAGCTGGCTGCCCTGCTCGCAGCTGCTGGCCCAGCAGAGCCCTGGAGCAAGCTGGGGATGTGCCGTGCAGTGCTCAGCAGCGGGGTTGGAAGAGAAGCAGGAGCCCACAGTGGATGTTCTCCATTCTGCCACGTGCACAAGATGGACAGCTCAGGTGTGTTACCGGCTGTTCCCACACAGCTGGGGCAGCCCGTGTTGGTGTGTGCTGGTGTTTCACAGCAGCACGGGCCCTGTGCAGAGCAGGGAGAGATGCTGCAGGGCTACAGCTCCACTACTGCTGGGTTCATAGAGTCCAGTTCATCTGGGGTCCCTGTGGAGTGACAATACCACGTTAGCGGGAGCAGATCTGGTAGGAAGTAAGCCATGCTGAGAAGCAGCCCCATTGCTCCCAGGGTTGGCAGCGTTACAAGATCAGGACTTACTTGCAGTCACAAAAGGGTCTGTGCGGGATCCTGACCATCTCTGCAGGTCCCCAGCCCATCCAACGGTCTCCTGTGAGCGGGCTTGGGAGATGTCCCAGCCTGTGAAACAGCCTATTCGGAGCACGTCTTGTACTCCGGCTGGCTGAACTTTGGGATTAGAACCTGTGCCTTAACCTCCCACCATCCGGCATGGCTGAGCGGCCCCTTTGCATCACTAACATCCAAAAACAGCTTGCAGGAGAGCTGTGCTGGCCCGTGCTGGGAGGTGGGATGTGTTTTGCCCAGGCACTCACAGCGAGTGCTGGACCCAAGGAACCAAGCAGCCCAGCAGCTGGCTGGCTTTGCTTTGTGTTTGTTTACTTTAAAATGTTTTAAGGAAATTTTAATATGTTGGCAAAATTTTAGCTGAGTGTGGAACTCTTGCAGCCAGTGACATTTCATACTGATATTTATACAATGTTTCCTTGAATGTATGTAAAGTACTTTTATAATAGGAGGTTGATGGTACATTTCTGTGTTTATGTTTAATAAAGGTTGACCTGGCTATTTTATTTTTCCTTCTGCTGGCTGAACTTAAGATTTCCTGTTTCTTGGATGGCCGGACGAGCATCTCTCTCCAAGCATTGGTTTTCTTCTGGCTCTGTGCTCTCCCATTACCCCTGACCTGGCTATAGTTGAACTGGTGACAGGCCTGAATGCCCGCTGGCCTGGGGCACTGGGGCTGAGCCCCCCCGCCGGCTGCTGCCGGCCTCCCCTCCAGCTTCACTGAAACCACGGAGGCATTAACCACCTAACCCACTCTTATCTGCTGCCTCCATGAGCCCTGGGGGAGTTATCTCTGCTGGCACTCGCCAAAATCAGCAGGACACCCCCCCTGACCCCCCCCCCGGAGCCTTCAGCAGCGCTTGCTGCACTGCTGACCCCTGGCAGCGGGAGGGCGTGAGCCCCAGAGCCCGTTCATGGTCTGTGTCATGGGAACGGCCCTATCAGCTGGAAAAAAAATAGTCTTTATTTTCTGTAGTCGCTGCTTCGGCCTGTTCTCTGACACCCCTGCAGTCAGCTCCCGATGGTGTTCAGGGTGAGGAGCTGCCAGAGCCGTCTGCCAGCGGTGCAGGTCCCAGCTCCGCGGCTCTGCTGCGGTGCTACACGGTGCTTGGCTAGTCCTGCGCAAACCCTCCCTTCCCTTCTGCACCCGACCAACAATCCACCCTCCTCCCAGCTTTTGCCACGCTGCCACTGTCCTTGGCCACGGGTTTATCTTGTTATAGGAACAGCTGGGAAAGGAGCATTTCAGCTGCTCTTCCAGCTGCCTCCCCCCTGCCCTGGTACAGGGGGGGTCCCCTCCTGGGACAGGGGCCTGCCAAGAGGATGGGTGACAGAGGGGAGGGGGGCAAGGGCCAACACTGGGCAGCCAGGATGGGCCGTGGCTGCTGGCTGGGCAACAGCAAAAATAAGCAAATTCTGTGGCCTGCTTGGGTTGTGGCACCGAGGCAGGGGCAGCCCGGCCTGGGAAGCAGCGAGTGTCTGTGCCGAGGAGCCAGCGTGGCCCCACACTGACCACACCAACAGCCTGTGGCTGAGAAACTGGTTGTGGCCAACTCCAGCCTGGTCACATCAGTGGGAGCTCCACCCGGGTGTGGTGGGAGAAACACCAACAAAGGGACCATGTCATGGCCAGGCGCACTGAGCCCCACTGCAGCCACACACGGGGGCACGGCTGCTGGCCCCCCCAGGAGAACAGGGTCCCACGGCTGCAGCCTGTCAGCCCCCGCCTCACAAAGAGCATTTGGGGCCCGAAGGAGAAAAGCGACAGACTAGGGCAGTAGCAAAGGGGTGACCTGCCCAGTCTGGGCCCCAGAACCCAGCTTCAAGCATGAAGCTTCAGCTCTGCTCCTCTCCCAGTGCCCAGCAGGAAGGGACCCAGCAAACCTGGCAAAGGGCAGAGTCAATGTTTCTGTCCATGGAGAATCCACGTTGGAATGTGCTTCCCCATTTCTGAAGGGGTGAAGCACCATCACAAGGCGAGGGCACAGCTCCCACATGCCCTGACCCCGCACTGTCCCACAACACCCTCCCCAGGGTGCAGACCTCCCCACGCGCTGCCAGCCCCGCACCACTGCCCTCCCACTGCATGGGAGTTTCTGCCTCCTTCCCACCCTGGTTCCCACCCTGAACACAGCGCTTACAGATGATCTTTGACCTTAACAGCAAAACAGAAGGAGGAAAATCCTGGCTGGAAACAGAAAGATCCTTGGCTGGTGCTGAGGAGAGAACAAGCTGTCCCCCACCACCACCCACCTTGCCAAGCAGCAATGGTGGCTGCAGGCACAGGAGAGGCACAAGGAGAAGAAACTGTTGTGCTTTTTTTTTTTCTTTGAAAAAGCTAATAATAAATAATGAGAGAAGCTGACATAGCAGTACAGCCACAATGGGCTGGACCCCCCCACCCCCCGAACACAACGGCCCTCCCTGAGGGCAAAGCCATGGGAGCCATGCTGTGTGCCAGGGGACTTGCTGGGCACTTGCACATCCCCTGGTTTCTGCTGGGCCCCTCCAGCTGCCCCAAACAACAGCTGGGGCGGGGGGCAGAAGCAGGAACAGGACTAAGAGATCCACCTTCCCAGCCTCAGACAGACGACTCAACAGCAGCAGCCCTGTTCTGGAAGCGCTGCCCCAGCGGCTGCGGGACATGGAAGTGGGTCTGGGCCAGCCACCGCATCCGCCTGTTCGTGAGGGCTGGCACCGAGAGCAAGTGAAACTCCAGTCCCTCGCTCCTACCATTGGCATCCACCTCGTCATAGCCACCTTCCTGCTGTACCCACACGTTGGGGTGCAGCCACTTGTAGTAGGTGACCCGCAGTGACAGCCCCAGCAGGTAGCAGGGCAGGGCAGCGGAGAGCACTAGGACGAGGTACGACTGCTCGTCAGAGGGGGATCGGCACCAGAGCCAGGACAGGGCCAGCAGCGTGCTGTCCACCAGGATGAAGCTGTGATAAATGATGCTGCGGTACAGCGTCCTCCCCGCTGCCACGTTGAACCAGCTGAAGTAGAGGATCACGGCCACCACGGCCCGGTAGAGCTGCTCAGGGCCGGGTGACTCCATGAAGTCTGTGCCCTGCAGGCTGACCCAGAGGAACATCGCCAGCCACACGAGCGGGAAGTGGACAGCGATGCCGTAGGGCCAGAGCAGGGCGAAGAGGGCGACCGTGAGGATGCGGGGGCAGATGAGGAAGAGGTTCCACAGGAAGTAGACAATGGAGGAGCCCAGGCTCAGCTTGTACTTGTCTTGTAAGAAGGAACGCAGGGACTGGTGGTAGTCCAGTAGAGACCAGGTCACACACAGGAACGCAGTGCAGATCCCCAGTCCTGCAAACACGGTGGTGGAGATGCTGAGGGCAGACTGAGATGGGGACCCTGGCCCAGCCCAGCATCGCTAAAACAAACTTCCCACCAGTTCGCAAAGCGGCTGCTGTGGCAGGTCAGAGCCTCAGCATCTGCGTCTCTCCCCCAGCCTTCCACGCTCCCCAGGGAGAAGGCTGGTGCCTGGCCTCGTCCAAAAGATGGGGAAGAAGAGACAGGACCGAGTGGCTCTGCAGAGCCAGTCTCCCAGCTGGGGAAGCCCCCAGCCCACACCAGCAGGAGATGAGTGCTGGCTCCACCCAACCAGTTGGGCTTCCCCCTTCACTGCAGTGACACTTTCTCCCCACCCCAGGATTGGCACCAAAAAGCACCTCCTCAGTGGCCTGTGCTCCACCCTTTGTCCATATCCACAGCAGCACCTCCCCGCTCCCCAGGAGGCTCCCGATTTCTCTCCTGACACTCAGCCTCCCGGGGCACATAGGAGAATGTCCACAGAGGTCCCCCAGATTCAACCCTCCCAGCCCAAGCCCAGCCTAATGCATCGGGGCACATGAGTGTAAGACAGGACTACACCCTTGCGTGTGTCATGTCAAGGGAAAGGAGTGACATGGAAGAATGACACCTCAGGCAAGGACGGGAGACTGAGTGTCCTGCTGGGTACTGCAGCCCCTGGACAGCCCCTCTCGTTTGTCCTGTCCAAGCCCACTCTGGCCTCAAGCCTGTACCCTGCCTCCCCTGGTCCTCACCCTGGGAAGGCTCTGCCTTGTTTGTCTGCAGGATAACGTAGAGGATCAGGGTGAGCTGTGGGGTGTTCTCCAGGAAGGTCTTGAAGAGGCGCAGCATGCTGATGTCATGGGAGAGGAAGGCCATGCGGCTCTGCTCTTCCTCCTCCTCTGCCTTTGCCCAGCACACCTTCCAGCCCACCTTCAGAGCATAGAGGCACCTGTGTGGGGACCCAGCCAGGGGTGAGGGGCTGCTGGGTGGCAATGCAGCACGGCCCGGCAGGACAACTTAAAATGCTACAATTTATGCTCAAACCACTCCCTCCCCCTTCCCAAACCAAGCCCTGCAGCATCCACAATGATGGACGTGAAGCATGAAACTGAGAAGAGCCCTAGGCGAAAGCAGACAGATTATTTCCTTCCCCCGGGAGCAGAGCCCGGCCGCTTCCCCAAAGAGCCAGGGGAGCCGAGGCCAAGACAAGGTTGTGGGGTGTTCGCTCCTGCAGGCTCCAGCACCCAGCCCCGCTCAGTTTGGCAGGAGGCCTCCAGCAGCAGCGACAGCAGCGGGAGATGCAGCAAAGCTGGTTCTGTGGGGCGCGGGTGGGAAACTTTGGCCGGAAGGACGGGGGTAGCTCCCACTGACGCGTTTCCAACTCGGGGGCGGGCCAAAGCGCTCTGCCTGGGGAGCCCCTTGGGAACCCCGGGGTGCAGGAGACAGGGAGCCCCCCCTCGCCCTCATCCCCGGGCGCCGGGATGTCCAAGGGGCTCCCCGGGCAGAGCTGTAGCCGCAGGGGGTCTGCCCGCCCCGCCCCTCCGCAGGAGCACGGTGAGCGGGCAAAGCCGGGGCAGAGCGGAGGGGCCGGCGGGGGGGGGGGGGGGGGGGGGGGGGGGTGGTGATGGCGGGGAGGGGGGCGGTAACGGGGGAAGGCGGAGAGGCGACAGAGTTACCTGAAGAGGACGCCGAGCTGGAGGAGGTGGAGGGCGGCGAGCAGCCCCGCGGGCAGGCCGGGGCGCAGCGCGGGCGGGTCGGAGCGCAGCCAGAGCCAGCTGCAGGCCTGGGCGGCGGCCGAGGCGGCGGCCAGCAGCGCCAGCGCCAGCGCGGCCCGGCCGGGCTGCCCCCCCCGCGCGTACCCCGCCGCCAGCCCCGCGGCCGCGCACACGTCCAGCGCCGCCGCCGCCGCCCCCGCCGCCGCCAGCACCAGCTGCAGCGGCCCGAACCGCGCCGGGGGGGCCCGCCGCGCCATCGGCCCCGGCACCGCCCGCCCCGCCCCCGGCCCCGCCCCCGGCCCCTCCCGCCCCGGCCCCTCCCGCCCCCGCCCCCTCCCGCCCCGCCCCCGCCCCCTCCCGCCCCGCCCCGCCCCCGGCCCCCCCGCCCCCGGCACCTCCCGCCCCGCCCCCGCCCCGCCCCGCCCCCGGCCCCGCCCGCCCCGGCCCCGCCCCGCCCCCGGCACCTCCCGCCCCGCCCCCGCCCCCTCCCGCCCCCGCCCCCCCGCCCCGCCCCCGGCCCCCCCCGCCCCGCCCCGCCCCCGGCCCCCCCCGCCCCGCCCCCGGCCCCCCCCCGCCCCGCCCCCGGCCCCTCCCGCCCCCGGCCCCTCCCGCCTCAGGCCGCGCATTCGCCCGCCCGCCCGCGACACCACCGGGCCGGGCGCCGGCGCTCCCCGGCACGCATTTCCCCGTAGCCTTTTTCAATCGTTCACCCCGCCGGCACGTCGCGGGGGCAGAGCCGTGGGTGCGTGTCCCCCCACCCACCCCGAGACCTGCAGCACCGCGCCCGTAACGCGCACCCACACCCCCCACACCCCCCCCCCCCCCCACGGAACACACCACGGGGAGCAACGGGAAGCGGAGAGGCTGCTTTGGGAAGTCAGCTTTGTGTCCCCAGTGCAAACCGGAGGATTTCAGGACACGGCAAAACCTGGAACTGCCAGCCGGCCCCCACCAGCCCCCCCAGCTCAGCGCCGGTACTGATACCTGCAAACTAAGATTATTAGAAAATACAAATCTGTGGAATAGAATTACTAAAATCAAGTTCAGATGTTTTAACCACTGAACAATTGTGCTGCAGAACAAATACTGATCTTCTGAGGAATAGTTGGAATAACTGTAGGATAAGGCACTCATAAATAATCTTACTGGAGACAGTTTGGGCTTGTAGTGGCAGATACCAAGAAACATGAAACTGCAAATTAGCAACAAAACCAGACCAGCCTGGAAGGACAAGGTGTACGTGACTACAGGACTGAGTTTGTGCAGCAGTAAGGGTCAGCCGGTGAACACAGTGAAGAAGACTACGAGCCTTCATCTGAAGACCCCCGACGACCACCTGAAGACTCCAACTGACATGTGCAAGAGACATTAACATATGCTCAATGAGTTCCTGGAAATGTTATGAATATGATAAAAATGCAATGAATATGTATGATTAAGGTAGTATAAATGCTCATTGATTTCATTCTCTCACACACACACACATTAAGAGGAGCTCTCCTCTGTCCGGCACTGTAATAAAGAATGCCTGCTTTCTAAAACTCCAAAATTGAGTCTTAGTGAATTAATTACCACTTTCCAGTAACAGTACAAGGGAGCTGGAGGGGACAGGGGCGGGGGGGCTGCTCGCAATGCCCGGCTGAAGGAAGAAACTAAGGGGATAGGAGTTATGAGAGCACAGAAGAAAGAGCTGTTCATGCTCAGCAATGGGGAAAAAAAAAAAATTAAAATTTCAGAAATAATAGTAAAGCTTCTTACCCTGGAGCCTCACCTTGGGCACTGACAGGTGTAAGTCACAGCCCAAACCTGCCAAAGAAGGAACTGATCCCATCCAGCTTTGTTCATAGGCCAAAGGCAAGGCCACTGCTGTACAAGGCCACCAAAACAAGATCTTCTGGATCACCAGTTGTCTGGTCTTTCCAGAAGAGAAGTACACGCCAACATGAGGAACCCACCTGGCAGCAGACTCCTCCATAGCACAGGGCAGCTCACAGCTCCCGTGCACAGAGCATCACCGCCCACAGAAAGGCCTGGTCTTCATCTGATTTGCAGACTACCTTACAAGTCGCAGGAGAAGGGGGAAAGACTCCCTGATGCAAGCCAGCATGACAAAAAAACACTCCAGAGCAATCACTGCCCTTTCCTGATACATCAAGCTTTTCTAGAAGATTTCAAATCAACATCACAGAACTTTTACTAAAAGCCTCTGATTTTGTCTTGGTTTCCAAGTTCTCAATGCCAAAAGCATTCACAATTTCTGACTCGTGCATTATGAACTTGTGTTCTCTTTTCTCTTGCTCTCGGTCATTACAGTGCTTGCTGGGGACTGAGAAGTCCTAAGAACAAGCATAAAAATATAAGCCAAACACCAACGATGGCAGAGGCAGAGCTGCTGGTTTTAACACACTCATCGTATTTTGTGAAATCAACTTCCCTGATGGCACAAATGTGATCGACACGGCAGGCCTCATCGCACGGGGTGAGATCGTATCTGACAGAGTTAAACTCGTAGTACTGCTGCAGATAGTGCGGATCCTTTGATATCTTCTCCAGCACCGTCTGCATGGAGCTCACAGAGCCATCGGGGACTTGGAAGGCTTCTGTCAGCCTATACTCTTCCTCCCATGCTGGGACCTCTTCCTCCCACGCTGACGCCACCATGTTGGCATGAGTTAGGTTCAAGTAGTAAGTCACCGTATCCTGCAGGGAGAGAAAAAAACAGAACAAGGACAAATCAGGACAGGATAGGCCCTCGAGTTAAACGTTTGGCTGGGCTGCCGTCAGCCCCCTCGCCCAGACACCGGTGAGCAGCACCACAGGCACGCGTGCTCGCCACAGGCAGTGCACCTCCCTGCCCAGCGAGGGCTGAGCTGCCTCCCGGCAGGTGCCTTCGACGGAGATGTGAACCTGGGGACAGACACCTCAGGTGAGAGCCTCCAGCACTCACCGCCAGAGCATCCTGTTTCGTAAGGGGTAAGGGGATGGCTTTTCTCTGCTTCCAAACAACAGGAAATCAGAGCCTGGGCCCTTTCAAAATCTCACTGTTATTTGCTATCGACACTGCCCACTGGCAGAAGCAAGTGTTGGGAGTAGTGTTACTTACTGAGTGAACTTATGTTCTGCACTGTGAGCAAACTGAAGAATAAAGTTTTCCACAACTCCTGTTCTCGGTTTCCTGCCCTTTTTCTCTCTGCTTCACTAGCTCCCTAGCCTTCCACAGTTTATTTTAGCATTCATTTCTCATGCTATAAACATGCAAACAGCATCTACAGAGCTGCTTTACCCATTGCAAAGAAGGGCACCCCACTCTCTACCTCTCTGCAAATAAGAGACAGAGGAAACAGAAGCTGCCCTTACAATTCACCTAAAGAGGAAACAGAAGCTGCCCTTACAATTCACCTAAATTCAGATCCATTACAAATTCATCAATTTAGCAAGCAGGGGGACTCAGTTTTCTAGATGGCTAAATGTTTTTGAAGGGAGTCTGACAACTCTGTTAGTCCTTAAAGAGCAGTTCTGCAATCCATGTTACCTGGGTAGTAAAGCAAGTGTCAAAGGAAACTAGCTGAAGACACGAAGAATATGACAAAACCTGCCCTGCACTGCCCTGGGGAGCTCATCCCAGCAGAAGGCCTGGGCCAGCTGACTGCGGTCGCCTTGCCTTTACTCACTGACACTCTTACTAAACCTTCATGCTAACATGAGGCTGACATATCTTGGTTGAAGTCCTCTCCTACATAGCCGCTTGGGTCCTGTAGTCCTGCCTGTTAAACCTGTATGGAGGAACAAAAATACTCTTCCAGAACTGCAGTGTGCAGCACATGGGAATCCCCTACCAACACTTGGAGGGTGTCTGGATCATAGTCGATCACCCGAATCCCAGGGTTGTTGGCTCCATTGTTCACTCCAGGTAATGTTGTTTTCCAGGGAGTCACTCCAGGGGCCAGGAACATGACATTGATTGGAGAACCTTAACAGAAAGACAAAACAACCCATGAATGGGCGAACTTGGCTTGTATCACACCCTGTCCACGTTGCAGTGAGCACCCTGGCAACCAATCACACTGCAAATGGCAGCTTTGTCACCAGCCCCAGTTACAACAGCGCATGCATGAAGATCAGCACATTGAATGGCATCAGGGATTGAACACAGGACTGCTGCAGCTGAGAACAGGCTTCCCACTGCTGTTGAAGACTCTTGCAGTGAGGGTGTGCAAGAGAACCACGCTCAAGCAAAGGAAACCGAGAACACTACCCATAACCACAGCGCAAAGATTCGTAACTGCTCCCCTATGTCTCAGCTGATGTCCAAAACCGATCAACAGGCAGCAGGCAAGAAGGTGCAAGGCATTGAGCAGAAATGACAAAATTTGAGGGTAAACATGAAGGAGGGCTGGAGCTACAGGCTGGAAGTGGAGATCAGAACCGCTGTTGTCTCTTGCTGACCAAAGCATTTCACAAGCCTCTTCTGGCTTCTCAGCAGCATTTAGCTAACAGTCACTGAAAACTCTAATTGACAGTTATTTTCTGGAAGTTGGCAGAGGTATCATGCAAATGCTTGGGTGGCCAGAACCAGTACCTGCATCACTGTAAAACATCCGAAAGCTGTCCGTGTGATGGTGCCCAAAAAACTGGGCAGAAATCACTCTGTGGTGCTTCTGCACAATTTTCAAGTATCGTTCGTTAAAGCCACTCCGGAACCAGGGCTTGCCTCGTTTCTTCTCAAAGAAGCCAGGAGGGACGTGCCCCACGATGAAGACCTACAAAAGCGAGAGTTGCACTGAACGAAAAGCCCACGCTTCCCACAGAGCACTGTCTTGCTGCAAGTGCACAGAGGGCAGGGCAGGAGTGAAAAGAGCTTCCAGGCTGGGAGAAGCCCTCTACGAAGTTTGTGGATTCATTTCTTTTAATACCATTTCATCTGCTCTAGAGGCGCTGGTCAGTGTTTCTTCCAGCCACTGGAACTGCCCTCCAGGATCTTCTTCACCAGCTGTCTCATCATTCTGGTCATAGTACAGATTGGTATTGAGGACAACCATCCGCCCCCTTGTCCTTGGGCTGGGCAGCTTCTCACTGTAGAAAGCTCCTGACAAATGCAACCGACAGGGAAAGAGCTGGAGGTGTGGACATGTTGGTTGTTGTGACTCCTTTGTGTGTTGTCCCTCTCGGCTCCCCTTGGCAATAACTGCAGCAGAGTCACTGTCTGGACAAGGTGCCAGCAGTGTTCTGACCACTCCAGGATGGGGATTTGGAGCGACTCTTCCCCTTGTGTACCTCTTGTCATGCTCATGTCTCTGAAGGTGAAGGGAGACCCTGCACGGGGACAGTGTGCAGCACCAGGAGCTGGGCAGCTCTAGAGTTACAGTCCTCCCTGCATCAGCAGCCACCTTAAAAAAATTTTTTTTCTTCCACTCAGTGAAGCACACTGCTCTGCATCCTCTGTAAGGACACCTTCCAGTCAACTGAGGGAAGCAGAAGAGACTAAAGCATAAAGAAATTTATTTTTTTTCGGAAGCGGGAGAACTCAGTGCTAGAAATGAGCATTAATTTGGTTCCGCCCTCTGCAAATACTGTTTCTCTGATCACAGAAGCAGGGAAAACCGTTCATGGTATTCTCCTAACCGGGAGGATCTTCTCTTCCCAGAGTGCCACCATACCTGCTCTGAAAAGAGGAATGGAAGCGTCATTCAGCCACGGATGCCACAGTTCAGCTGTTCGGTTGTAGATCCTGTTCTCCTTCCCTGGAAACTGATTCTTGGGGTGGAAGTCATGATTGCCCATTGCCGCGTAGACTTTAGTATCTAGAGACAGAGAAAAGGAATCACAGAAGAATCCATGCTTGCTTCACAGTTCCTCAGCACCACAGCTCCCTGAAGCACTCAGACTTGGAAAGAACAGTATGGTCTGAGAGCTTGGCAAAAGCCCATCATCCACACCACAGCCATACGGTTGCACTGACTGGGGGTATAACACTACAAAGACCATCCCTCCTTGGGACAAGCTACCCCACAGCCATGGCCTTACAGATGAAGCAGTGAGCTTTCACTATCAATAACGCTCCTTCTTCCACTTGCTGACAGGGATTATGCGTGAGGAAATTTGCAGACTTTTCTGTCTTAATGACTAATTACAGAAATGTTTATTTTCCTTCCTTCTGAGCAACTTAACCTGAAACAATGAGTGTGCATCAGACGCCTCAATTCAGACACGCCTCATGCCATGCAGCAACTAGGAAGAAGACAAACAAGTCCCAATGACCACAACCCTTCCATGCCTCTCCCCTTCCCAATTCTGTCATTTCTGCACCATGATAAGCTCTTCCCATGAGGCTCTGTGCCCCTCTCCCCTTCTCATCCCCTCAAATCCTACCTGGAAATGTCTCTTTTATCAGAGAAGTCAGATTTTCTATTATGTGCAGAACCTTTTCTTCTCCAAGCTTCTCATTGGGGACGTGAGGAGTATCATCTCTAGAAAAAGAGTGGCACAGTCACTGTCTGTGACTAACAGGGCATATGGTTAAAGTGATAAGCAAGGCAGAGAAACGTGCTTACTTCCCTCTTTGTGCCTCCTAGAAAAGAAAGTTAAAGTTGAAGCTTTTGGCTGCAGGAACCAGTGCTATGTTGACTGGCCAAGGCACTGAGGGAGTTTCAAGAAATTACTCAAAGTGAAAACGGGCTCCACTTTATTCTACCTTGAAAAACCTATACACAAGTAGATAAAGTGGAGGCTCACTCTGCCTCAGTGCACTGAATAGACACTAAAACTGACTGGAACTTTTTCAGGGAACGGCACTTTGCAATTTCAGGTCAACATCTGATGGGCAATAGTGAAGCGCAGTTGTCTGCCCAGCTGTTTGAACAGCAGGATAACAACTCTCATTAATATGGAACAGAGGAATGCCTCCAATAAAGTATTACCTCCGAAAGTGTGGCAGACACCAATAATATGCTTATGGCATTTGTAGATGCTGCTGGGCTGTCAACAAGCACATCCAAGAGGAAGATCAGAATTCAAAATTATGTCAAAGAATGGGGGGAAATAGTTTGAAGGAAAAAGAAAAATCAGCACGAAGTCCTAAGGACCAATAACTACTTCTAAGTAGGAGCAATCATCCACAGAGACAGAAAATGAAAACGTGGGATCAGGCAACAGCACTGCAAACTAGGACTGCAGGTTACATCAGATTACAGGTTGACGTTGCACCACTAGATGAAAGGCAAACATCACAAGAGGACATACTAACAATAATAGGCAAAATAAAGCTTTTACTGTCTGTAAGTGCTCTTAAGGCCTCCTGCGGAAGAGGGTACCCACTTCTGGAGACCAAACTAGGAGAAAACATGCTCCATTTGGGGAGATTCTTCATGTTTTTAAAGGAAAAGAGCCCCTCTTTGAGAAAAGTCTCCCAGGTGCCTCTTTAGTGTTTGAAAAAACGCTGCAAGTTTGTTTGCAATGCTCTCCTCCCACTGCCTCCAACAGGCTGGACTTGGCGCACCAGCAGGAAGAGCACGTGCCATTTCAGGTACTCCGAGCTCGTGTGATGTCAGGCAGGGCTGGCAACAAGTACAAAGAAAAGGAAGGACGATGAATTGTAATCCTTTCCTTACCTTACTGCTTGTCACTGCTAGAGCTTGCTGGGAGCTTCTGGCTGGCATCACGACCTTGCTGTGGTTACGCTCCCCGCCCAAGCCTCCATTTTGCATTATAAGGCACACGCCTATCTCACCTCTCCGACACGCTCACCGTGCGAAGACCCCTGGACCCCCCAGAAGCTCCAAACACCCCCGCCCTCCGACCGCCCCTTCTGCCACCCGAACCCTGGCAGCCCTCAGAGCGGGCAGGGCCGTGCCACAGCCCGAGCGCAACGCAGAACCCCCGAACCCCCCGCTGCCAATTCCCGGAGCGCCCGGTGTTCCTCCTCTCGGTGGCAGACGCCGTCCCTCAGGCTCCGAGGCTGCGGCGCGAGGCCGGAGGCGGCGAGCTCCGTCAGCGAGCCGGCCCGGGGCCCGCTCGACCGCCGCTGCTGGGGGGCGGCCGGGCAGCGGATCCCGGCAGGGCGGGACCCCGGCCCCTCCTCACCCGGTCCAGAGGACGAAGTCCGGCCGCGGCAGGCGGTCCCTCATGGCGCGGGCGGCCGAGGCGAGCAGGCGCCAGGGCGCATCGCAGAGGTAGCTGCCCCAGGGGCCGGCGGCGGGCACGGGCCGGGAGCCGCCCGAGGGGCACGGCTGCCCGGCACTGGACGCCGCCTCGTAGTCGGGGTCCCAGTGCAGGTCGGTGACGTGCCAGAAGCGCCCTGCCGCCGCCGGGGATGCCGAGGCTCAGCGGGGCGAGGGGCGCGGAGCTGCCGCCAGGCCCCGCTCGGGGCCCCCCGCCCGGCCGGGCCGCGGGGCGCGCTGCCGCCTCTTACCTGCTAGGGCCGCGGACAGCGAGCAGAGCAGGAGCAGTGCGGCGGGCGGCATTATGGGCTGGGACTGGGCTGAACTGGGGCTGGTCTGGGTTGGGACTGCTCTGAACTGGGCTGGGACTGGGCTAGACCTGGGCTGGGCTGGGACTGGGCTGCGACTGTGCTGAACTAAACGGGGCTGGGCTGGGCTGGACCTGGGCTGGGCTGGGACTGGGCTGCGACTGTGCTGAACTAAACGGGGACTGGGCTGGGCTGTCGTGCCCGCCCCACTTCCCCTGCAACCTCCCTCACCTCCGCACGGCCGGGCAGCACCCGCACCCAAAATGGCGCCGTTAGCTTCCCACCGCCTCTCCCGATTGGAAGGAGCCGGCAGGCGGAAGGCTGGGATTGGCTGCCGGTCGGCTGAGCGGCCCCCCCGGATTGGGCAGGAGGCGGCGGCGGCGGCGGCGCGGTGCGCGCGCGGGCAGGCTTGCGTCCGGCGGTGGGGCCGCGGACATGTGGAGCGGGCACGGTACGGTGCGGGGGGGCACGGGACGGGGGTCCCGGTCATGGCGGGGGGGCGGGTCCCGGTCATGGCGGGGGGGCGGGTCCCGAGGCCGCCGCCGCGCCCCGCGATGGCGGCAGGGATGGAGGACGCGTAACCGCCAGCGCCTCACGGGCTCTCCCTCTCCCGCCTCAGGTACCTTCGACGGCGGGTTCGGCGCCTCGGGCCCTGCGGGCGGTTACGCGCAGTCTCCGGGCGGTTTCGGCTCACCCGCGGGCACGCAGGCGGAGAGGAAGCAGGTAGGCCGGGAACAGGGCCGGAGCGGCGGGGTGGACGGGGGCGGCCGGCGCTGACGGCCCCGCCGCCCCTTGCAGAGAGTCCGCTCCCAGAACATCGTGCCCTGCACCGTGTCGCAGCTGCTGGCGGCCGAGCAGGTGGACGAGACCTTCCGGATCCGCGACGTGGAGATCTCCCAGGTGGGGGCCGGGGGACAGCCGCGGGTGGGTGGGGGGCGGCTGCGGGACAGACGGACTCGGTGCCTGGGGCCTTCCCGGGTCAACTCCTCTTCCAACGCAGGTCACCATCATGGGGATAATTCGGCACGCCGAGAAAGCACCCACAAACATTCTCTACAAAGTGGATGATATGACGGCAGCGCCGATGGACGTCAGACAGTGGGTTGATACTGATGTAAGCATCAGATTTGTTATGAACACGCTTTTTTAAAAGCTTTTGGGAGTGGCGAAGAGAGAAAAGCTGTAGGATCATAGAATATCTCCAGTCAAAGGGACCCATAAGGATCATCAAGTCCAATTCCCTGCTCCTCATAGGACTTTTTTATCAAAACAATGTGGCTTTTAGGGGAAGAGTTCTAGAGTTAACATGTCTCTGGAATCCAAGGGAGATGCTGGTGCTCTACGTGACTCTGTTCCTATTTTGTAATTCGTACATGATTCTACATTGAATCGCTTTGGATAATTTTTTAGAGTTTAGCTGGTGAAGCTCAACTACTACTTCACAGCTGAACTGAGGGTACTCAGTACTTCTGTATAGAAATACAAGGAGAGAGAGCAAACAGAGATTTTTGTATGTGGCTCAGTGACTGAGGTGAAGGCACATACCAGTGAACATGGTCCTGTTTTCTGATGCGTGACTCCTGAAGTGCTGATAACTTCCACTGGACTCTTGTGATGGTATATCAGGCCTCTAAAGCTAGCCCGTGTTATTGTAACATATATTTGAAGGCAAGCAGCTGAGTTCAGTTGAACGACATTGGGTGAGTAATTAGGCAGACATTCAGTTGGCTTAACTGCAAGTTTATCATAACTTCAGAAAAGGTTTTGGCCTGTTTCCATTCCCCTAGCTGAGTTATGCAGTTGAACACCTGCTTTTTTACTATTTAAGGGTTCTTTACTCTTGTTGCTCAGTGAAAATTTCTCAGAGCAGACAACTGGCTTTGACTGCTGTCAAGTGTACAGTGTGTTCAATCAGGCAAATACTTACTTTCTCTATTTTTCAATTACTGTGATGTTCACCTAACTGCTCTTACTAGACATAGCAATGCATGCTGTTTGTGTTTGCTTGAGATAAGCCTCCTTTCCTAAGTCATTGATTGTGATAATTGAGAAATGGAAATGTGAATCAGCAAAACCCTCCTTTCTCCCTTTCCTCTCTGTTAGGAGGCAGGTAGTGAGAATGTTGTGGTACCTCCAGGAACTTATGTGAAAGTAGCTGGTCACCTTCGGTCTTTCCAGGTAAGATCATGTCACCCATGTCTGACTCCACGAGGCTGGAGCACTGGCATGAAAGATTGGTGATCTGGCAGAGTGTTGGTGGGCTCTCTTTAGAATATCCACATAATTGTGGTCTTTGCTCATCCTTTCCCGTGGGCGAATCCTTGAATGTTGTTGCCAGGGCTGTATTTAGTAACACTTTAATTGTTCCTAACTGCAAAGGACAGAGCACCCGTTTAGAATGCCACTCTTCATCAGTACGTTGTTTTCAGTGGGACAGCATACTGGCCACCAGGTTCTTGGTTGGTTGTACTGTAGAGCTTAGACAAGGTATTGGTTAATGGGGATGCTTCTTGTAGCATATTATGTGATGTGGTTGCCTCATAACTAAATACTATAACTGAATATATGAATAAATACTCAAATACTGATGTATGCATTAAAACCAAGTGCAATTAATTGCCAGCTGGTTAGAAAGATAAATTGCGCTGTCTGCATTGTCTTGCAAAATCACATATGAAAATGTAAGTCAGAAAATTTTGAACTAGTTACATGCCGACAATCTGCCTACCCACCACCCCCCCTGTTCCTGGAGAGAATGGCTGGATTGGCTGTTAAGCATGTTCCTGTTGCTGTGATACTATTTTTTTTTCTTTGCTTTTATTTTTTTTCTCTGAAAGAATAAGAAAAGCTTGGTGGCATTTAAGATCATGCCTCTGGAAAATATGAATGAGTTCACAACACACATACTAGAGATTGTCAATGCGCATATGATCCTCAGAAAAAATCTTATGGTATGTACTTGGTAAGATCCTCATTCCATCTGGGTTACTGGTTATCTCCCAAAGAGAGGGACCTCTTGGTTTGTTGGGGAAATTGTATACCAGTTGTGGGGCTGGAAAGCTTGAAGCTGTTGGAAGGCTACAGTGAAGGTGTGACAGGAGTCCTGGCTTCCTTGGAGAGAGATTGTGTTTCAGTCCATTTCCAGTGGTTTCTTTTGGGAATATGTTTTTTAATTACTGTCTCTCTGAAATAACACCAAGTTTTTAATGCTGTGGGCTTGCAGCAGCCTATGTAGCCACAGCAGTTTTACTCTTGTAATTTCAGTCAACATCAAGAGTGCCGCAGTCATTTACCACCGGTGGGATAGGTGACATGGGGGGCTATGGAGGAGGTGGCAGCCTGCCAGTGAACGGACTCACAGCACATCAGAGCCAGGTCGGTGCAAACAGCTTCTCCAGGAGCACAGCAGTCGCAGCAGAGGCTGCAGTGTGATGTAAGACAAAGAAATGCAAGCTCAGTTATTTGAAGACAGATAGCTCTCCCTCAACCTTGATGTCCATCCATGATAGAGAAGCTTAGCTGTGTGCTAATAGTGGTTCCTGCTTTTCCAGGTGCTGAACTTGATTAAAAACTGCCCTGTCCCAGAAGGTATGAGTCTTCAAGAGTTGAAACTTCAGCTCCACAATATGAGCATGTCAACAATCAAGTAAGTGTATAAAAATGAAGGATGTTATGGAAATCCAGGCAGTCCTTCCTGGAGTCTGATAAAAGGAGGCAGAGAGGAAAATAGCAGGCAAGCCTGGATCCTTCCTTATGAAACAGTGCTAGTAATTTCAGATGTTCCCAGTAAGATGCAGTAGTGAGCCAGAGCTTTTGCAGTCTTCAGCAGCTTAGAATGAGCCATTGTCAGTTGAAGGGGTGATAAAATGCTTTGCTCCCCATTTTCAAAACAAGCTGTTTAACAGTTCAGTAGCAAAGTAATAGGTACCTGGGAGTACTGCAGTGCTTCAGCAGCATTTTATCCTGCTCAAGGATTACCTTGCTTGCTGCACACTGATCAAAACTTGGGAATAGACTCTTTCTGTTCTCTTCTTTGATGTCTCTTACAGCTTCTCCTCCCTGAGACTTAGAAAACCGGTAATAAACATCCATTATCTTTTTGTGTTCTGTCCCCTTTGAAGCAGAGTGGTAGGTACTGTTTTTACCTGGGAAGTACTGAGAGTGGTGGCCTTCCCCGCTGTGGCAGGCAAGGTCTAATTGCTGCTGGGGGAGTACATTGCCATGGAGAAACTTTCTGTGCCTACTGATTGGTGGAGCAGCACTTAAACTGCTCACAGAACAGAGCCACCAAGAGCTTCCCTTGGCAGGTGCCAGAAGGGAACAGCAGGGAATGGGGTCAGAAAATGGGAAATCCCTGAGAGAAAGGTGTTGATAAGAACTAGGTAGCAATTGCTTTTTATTTTTTTCTTCAAAGGCAAGCTGTTGAATTCCTTAGCAGTGAGGGACATATCTACTCCACTGTGGATGATGATCACTATAAGTCAACGGATGCTGAGTGAAGTTACTTCCAGCTGGATTTAGTTCTAAGCAAATGCTCGTCCGTGTTTCAAGTTATCCTGCCGAGCTTTGTGACATGGAAGGTGATCTTTGCTCTTTCTAGCCTCTGAAAGTCCCAGTTACTCTGAGCACTTCTGTCTTGGAATTCAAGGATGAGCAGAACATATAGGATTCTGTTAACTGGACTTAATTATGTGCTCTGACCATGTGACTGAAAGCATAAACAGATGTGGGAAAACAAAATTCCTCCAAGCTTCAGTTTGGTTTTGTCACCTTAGAGGATACCTGTGTTAGAAGAACCTCTTTCTAATCTTGTCCTGGGAGGATTGTCTTTTGTTTCCAGAGCTGTTTCTCCTAACTCAGCTTTCACTCCATTTCTTTTACAAAGTGGGTAGCCATGAGTATATTCCACTAATGTACAGTAATCATGAATAGATTTTTAATTGGTTTAGTTTCAGCATTTAAATCTATATTTGTACTATGAGCTGACCTTGTTACTAGAGCTTTTGAATGTTTTCCAATAAAACTTTAACTTCGGTAGTCTTGCATGTGTGTGTGGCTCCAGAGGCTTTTCTTCCCTAAAGAAAAAAAAACCATCTGCGTTGACAAACCCAAGCAACATGGTAGAAACACAGCTCATCTTTTCAGAGTTTCTTTAACTATATTTATTTTTTCCTTACCTTTTAAGGCAATTTACTTGGAAAGCTAAAACTGAAGTGAAGGTCTGGACAGTAAGAAATGAAATAGTTGTACTACTGAAGAAAGCTACATGTATCAATGTTCCAAATACAGCTAGGATAATTTCTGCCACCAAAAGTAGTTTAGCTGAAGCTCAAATTAATTACATCATGTGGAACAAGTTTTTATTCTTTAAATTATTTTTAGAGCATAACAGAGAAGTACACTAAGGAAACGGAGGGTTGATATTGGTGATGTGTTGGGATGGAGATAACAGATTTGCATTTCCTGTTTCTCTGCACAGTTCAGGGAGGCAGAGTGCTGAGGGCAGCTACTGCAGTGTATTTCTGTCCTCTTAGTCATGATATGCTTCCTGTTATATAAAATGCAAAGCTGAAAATCACCTTCTGAGAATTGTTTTGCATTTGTTAATGGGAGCGCATCAGGAGTTCCTTAATATTCAGGAGCATTTTTCACCGTGACCTCCTAAGGCGTGTAGCTGTTCTCACAGGAGGAACCACGCCTTTTGTAGTGAATGCATTGCTGAAAAGCAGGACCTGGGATCTTTCAAGCTGAAAGCTGAGGCACTGAAAGGCACTTGCCTGCCAGATGAGAGCCTAGTTTGCTGCGCTGTGCTGACCTGTCCTTCGATTGCTGCCTGCTGAGTTCCCAGGACACGGGGCCTGCTGGAAAAGCAGCATGTGCACCCGAGGCTGATGCTGGTGGGCTCATGGGCTGGTTCACTCCAGGGGCCATGGGCGCTGCAAGTCATGGAGTTTTTGTTACCTGGGACTGGTGAAGTGACCTGGCTTTGAAATAGCAATTCTTCCCCGTGTGCACATCTGTGGGGCTGGCTGCTGGACCCAGGGCATCTGCTTCTGGCATCAATGCTGGGGCAAAACCCACTGTCCTGCTCAGCTTCAGAGTGGCACAGCTGTAGCCTGGGCCGCACTTCAGGGGCTACACTGCTACAGCTGCATAACAGGTGAACTTCCAGGCAGAGTCCAGCAGATCTAGAAGCTGAAAGTACTGTCATTTCCCTTTTGCAAGAGCTGTGCAGGTTAGGAAGAAAATCCCTGATGATTTTTGGAAGTGAAGATGAATGGAACTGCTTGCAGTAAAAAGTGTGACAAAACACTTGTGACTGGAGAGGAAAAACTCATTGGCTGGGGAGGGAGTTTAAACCATTGCCTATTCTCCATTTGCTGCTTGATCTTCAAAGCATCCAGGAGCATCTACTGTCATCTGGCTGGAGGGATGATTTGAAATAGGTCTTAGGGGACAGAAACATTGGCTGCTTTACAGAAAATTTACATTTAAAACTATCTGTGAACTAACTGAAATCCAAACTCAGAATGCTTTTGTCTCAAATAAAGGAGACAAGGAAAAAAACTTGGGCATTTTCAGTTGTTCTGGTTTCCTCTGTGCTCCGCTCCCCTCCTCCTCCCTGGAGCCCATCTTCTCCCCAGCCATAGTTTAGCACTAAGGTTTTTCTTCCAGGGAGAAGGAAAAAATGTATTTTGGGGTGACTTCAACAGCTATTGACCCCTGCCACTGTGGTGAGTCTCTTGGTTGAAGCTTTGTACATTGTATGAAGCCATGAAAAAGGCTGAGAGAGTTGGGGTTGTTCAGCCTGGAGAAGAGCAGGTTCTGGGGAGACCTTGTTGTGACCTTTCAATATGTAAAGGGAGCCTGTGTGGAAGATGGAGACAGAAACATTTTACCAGGGCCTGTAGTGACAGGGCAAGAAGCAACAGTTTTAAACTGGAAAAGGGTAGATTTTAAGGAACATATTTTTTATGATGAGGGTGGTAAAATGTGGTGTACTGAGGCACGGACTCAGGTCATGGGTGATGCTGAGACGCTTTATTTCAGCACGCAGGCTGCTTATATACCTTTCGTAAGTTACAGCACTTTTCCATCCAGTTACAGCACTTTCCTACCAGCTTAACACCACCAGGTGTTACACGCTAATCACGCAGTCCTGGCAGTCTTCCTGCTTTCTTCTTGCCCAGCAGCAGCCGAAAACATCAGTGTGCTTATCAGCATTTTTCTCATAACTAACCCCATGTTAGAAACAAGACACAGCACTCTTCTGACTACCAAGAAGAAACATTAACTACTTTTCCCAGGGTTGACTTAGCAGGAGCCTCTCAGTACTTGTGTCCAGGCTGAGGGGCCTGCTCCAAGGCCTGACGTGCGTTTCCATTTTGTCTCCCCTGTCATCTCCCCCTTGTTTTCTAAAGCAGCTAACATTACATTGCCTAGAGCTTTATCAATCATGAACTGTATATATTGTATTACACATGGCACACACACTAATAATATGCATATAAAGATTAGTAATCAAAACACACCTACCATAAAACAACATTTCACCCATATCCCTAAGCCGTTAAACCAGTCTCCAAAAATATTCCATTCATTATGTTCTTGTAGCTTTCCCACTAGCTTATGTAGTTTTTCAATTTAGAGTTGTCCGATAAAGTCACACAGCACAAATCATTGAAATTTTCCTAAGCTACAAGGTCCTCCCCTTAAACGAGACAGAATCCCAGGCCAAGCTCTAGCTCCATAAATAAGAAACACACCCACCGGTAAGGCTAATGGTGTTTTGGTGGAGTGTGAAATGTTGCTTGATGTATAATTACACCACACACTACTATTGCTATACATTGCTAAAGATGAATCTACATTTTGAACAAACATTTTTTTCCTCTGTAGAGTGAGGTACAACTGAAGACATTTATTAAACCTAAACCAGATACTTTTATACTCCGCAGATGCATTGCAAAATTTTCCATGACATTACAACATTGTTTTATTGACCTTCATGGTTTAAGCCTTGCTATATGTGTTACTGCTTATCTTCCCTAATGACACTATCTGTTCTCTCAAATTCCTTAACTACACATTCTTGGTGCTTCCCCCAACACCTTTCCACAGTCTCAGTGATAGCAAATTCTGCTCACTGCCACATCTGTTATTTTTACTTTCATCATTCTCATTCCTGTTGGCCTGATCCACCCCCAAAACTCCCCCTTCTTTATTAACTTGCACAAGTAGAACCTGATTAAGCACCTTAGTAATCATCAATCTTACACGGTTGATTATATGTGAAATACATAAGGCACATAAAAATCAATAAGCACATTAATCCTAGCTTTAATACTTTTTTGGGCCCAGAGACCCAGACCTTAGAACCACCCATCAAACCATCCCCAAGAGGTTTCTATGCATAATTTTTGCACTCCTTTTAACTGCTGAATACTTTGGTGAACAGATTCAGAATGGCCTGACAAATTCATACAACACATGCCCTCAGAATCCTCGCAGCCATGACCTTGAGCTAACAACAGGAAGTCAATTGTGGCTCTCTTCTGCAAGGTGGCGTGGCGTACCAACTCAACATCTTGCCACAAACCTGTAAGTGCTTGAGATGTGGCATTGCTCTGGTTATTCAGCCACTTTTTTTTTTATTTAAAGTAGCTAACACTTGGGCTGCAGCAACACCTGGGGCGAGAAATAAGTCAGCTATTCCCTTTCCTGGGTTCCAAAATTCTACATTGTCCTTACAGTTACTCTCAAAAGCATGTATCACCCATGATGTGCGACTTTAGTGTCGGTATTTAGCAAGTATCATAGTTGTGTTAGGTGTTAATAGGGTCAACCGACCTAGTGAAAAAGGTCCCTCTTTTATATATGGTGGTATTGCTGGCCAGGCACGATCACCACATATAAAAAAACACTCCTGAAGGTAATTTTGAAGGTATATTGCTTAATTTGGACCCGTTTGTAGTCGTGTAGTTACACCACAGGGATATGTTTCTATATACTGCAAGCGTTGCATTCACAGACCATGTGTGTGACTGGTTCTTTCTAGTATAATTAAAATAGAGACACCAATCCATTTTTACAGACCCTAAAAGCTCTAGCTCTTGTGGAGGTAAGGGTGGCTGTGGAAGATGTGCAGTCCATGCATCCCACTGTCCAATCAAACCTACAGGTTGAAACATAGGGTTAAATATATACAAGATCAAAGGTAAACATAAGTTAACTCGATTTGCTTGTCTTTGCTCTATAGCTTGAGCAACATGCTGCAAGGCCTGCTTGGCATCAGCAGTTAGCCTCCGTGGAGAGTTCAAGGCTGGATTTCCTTTTAATATCTCACAAAAGGGATGTAAATCTTCATTGTTAATCCCTAGTAAGGAAAGAATCCCATTAACAGCCCCCAAGACTTTCTGCAGATCGTTTGAAGTTTCTACATCCACTCCTAGCCACATGGACTGGGGGTGGACAGTTTGGTCCACAATTTTCCAACCTAAGTACTTCCACAGTGACGTTTGCTGAATCTTTTCCAGTGCTACTGTCAAACCATGTCTACTGATACTTTGAAATGCGGCATTAGTGGCCAATTTGAGTTCTGTTTCTGTGGTAGTGCATAATAAAATGTCATCCATGTAATGATAAATTAGTACACTAGGAAACTGTGGTCAGACTGAAGACAATGCATGCACCACATACCACTGACATACTGTGGGGCTGTTCTTCATGCCTTGTGGCAGAACAACCCAATGACATCTCTGATATGGCTCCGACATGTTTGGAGACGGCACCAAAAAGACAAAACACGGCGCATCTTTTGGATGTAATGGAATGGTAAAAAAACAGTCCTTTAAATCAATAATGACTATCTTCCGATTCTGTGGAACCATTGTGGCAGAAGGCAAGCCGGGCTGAAGTGGCCACATATCTTCCATGACCTCATTAATTTGTCTCAGATAGTGGAGTAGTCACCATTTGCCACTCTTTTTCTTAATGACAAACACAGGAGAGTTCCCTGGACTGATAGATGGCACAATGTGTCTGTTGGCGAGCTGTTCTTGGACTAACAGTCAGAGCTGGTGCAGCTTTTCCTTAGGCAGGGGCCACTGGTCCACCCAAACTGGCTTACCTGTACACCAAGTTAGTGGTAAAGTTTGATGCACCTCAGTGGCCCCTAAAATAAATTTGCCTGGCCCCGTGTCTGTAAGCTCAATCCCCACTGACTCAAAATATTTCGGCCCCACAAGGTAATGGGAGTATCTAGCACAAAAGGTTTGGTAGGAGCCACACAATCCTCAGGCTGTTATCTATATTAGGTGTTGGCTTTGTCGGGGCAAGGATGACCCATCAATCCCAGTTAATGGGGTTACAACGGCGTCTAGTGGCCACTATGGGGGCCAATATGATAGAGCTATTATGGTCACTTCGGCCCCAGAGTCAATTAGACCAGATAACATAACCTTCTCTGGTGATCCTTTGACTAAGCGTAAGCTGCATCTACACAGGGGTCATTTTTCTGTCATTGATTGTGACCACATTACAAGGGGAGCTCAGGTGGAGCCAAATCCACGGCTTCCTTGAGAAAGACCAGTTTGAGATGTGACTGCTGCTTTAAAAGGGACCAGCTGTGCAATTCCAGAGCCTGCAGGAATAGTGAGCGGCAGTGAAGGCATCCAGAGCATTAGCTTTATTTCTCCCTGATAGTCAGCGTCAATAACCCCTGGTAATAAAAATATTCCTTGCCGAGTGGCGGAGGATCTTCCCATCAGCAAGGCACTTAAGCCGTTGCCCAGCGGGCCAAACACTCCCGTAGAGGCAAGGGCAACAGCACTGCCTAAAAGTGTCACTGCTGAGGAGGTGGCCAGGTCCATCCCGGCACTTCCTGCGGTGCGAGTGAAGAGCTCTGTTGCTCCACCAGGTAAGTACTTTGCAGGACAGTCTGTGGAGGTAATTGTTTCAGCACACGCCTCCAATTCATGCTGCGCAGCCAGTTTCCCAAAAGGGGATTACCCTGAATTTCTCATTTAGATCTGCACTGATTGGTGTAATGCGGTCCCTTCTTACACCGGGGACAGATTCCAGGTTTATTATTAGTGGAGGTTACAGCTTTTGTTTTAAATCAGGGGCACTCTCGTTTGAAATGCCCCTGCTTCCCACAATGGAAACATGTTTGAGATGACAGCTGAATTGCAGTGAAGGTTGTAGCCATAACACGAGCCTGATTAGAAAAGGATCCAATATTCTGGCAAGCCTCTAACATTTCAATTATAGAGGACTTTCGTAGCAGATGCAACACCCTCTTACAATCCTCATTTGCATTTTCTATAGTAACTTGCTTTAGCAGAATTTCCTTCGCTTCTGGATTGTACACTTGTTTATCTAAGGCTTCCTTCAAACAGTCTATAAACTACATGAATGGTTCATTGGCCCCTTGTCGTAAGATAGGGAAAGATTGCTGCAGTTTGCCAGTATCAGGGACCTTAAGAAACGTTCAGTAAGCCAACTCTTTTGATTGATTTAGAATAGCAACATTTAATCACACTTGCAAAGCTGGAGTAGCAACAACACCCGTACCCATCAGCTGATCCACTCCTCCTCCCCATAAAGGATCATCCTCACCCCTGTCCAAATTTGAGATAGTGGCTGCTTAGACCCCTCCACGCTAGTGAGCTTCCCATAGAACAAACCGAGTGGGAAGTGAGGACTAATTGTGCAGTGGTCCTAGAATCATGCGGGGTAAGAATATATCCATCAAGCACATTCTTTAAAAGGCTTTGGGCATAAGGTGACCCTATTCCATGGTCCATGACCGCATGTCGAAGTTCCTTAATTAGTGAGAAAGGCAACCCTTCCCACTGAGGTGGGGCGCCTGGATGATATATTACGGGATATGCTTGGAGTGCTCCCGCAATATCAGAGTCTCCAGCCTCTGCAGCCTCCCTGTGGATTTTTTCCCAATGACGTCTCAGATCAAAACCGCCCACGGCCACTGCAGCCAGAGCCTGGTCTGGAGGATGAAGATCAGGCTCCTGCTCAGGGTCTACTGGACTGGGATCTAAAGGATCAGCAGCAGCAGTGTCCTTATCCGTTGATAACGCAGGTGCCATGGGCGCTGATATGGCTTTAGAACTGTTGTTCTTTTTAAGCATCTCAGAGATTGTTCGCCAGATGGATAACAGATCTTTAGCAAGAGCATTTTTCCGAGTGGCCAAGTCCCACAGTTTAACACCAGCTTGATCCTAGACATCACAGTCAAAACCCAATGCACTAGTTATACCGGGGTTAGTGGTTTTCATCCATTTAAGCATTAGCATTAAATCACATTCTTTGTATGTACAGTCATGCTTTTTCAAAAGCTGCTTAAAAGTTTCTAACACCGCCTCTTCAGTCTGAGATGGTCAGTTCCCCATAGTTCCTGACTGCTCACCGGTCAGTCCAGGCAATTATGCCGTACGGAATTCTGCGGTGCTCCCCACCGGATCGCTCTGTTCAGTCAGGCGACGCCACTGGAGGCAAGCTGAAGCCCAGGAGCCGGTCGGTCCCTGTTCGGGCGCCATTTGTGGTGTCCTGAGGCACGGACTCAGGTCACGGGTGATGCTGAGACGCTTTATTTCAGCACGCAGGCTGCTTATATACCTTTCGTAAGTTACAGCACTTTTCCATCCAGTTACAGCACTTTCCTACCAGCTTAACACCACCAGGTGTTACACGCTAATCACGCAGTCCTGGCAGTCTTCCTGCTTTCTTCTTGCCCAGCAGCAGCCGAAAACATCAGTGTGCTTATCAGCATTTTTCTCATAACTAACCCCATGTTAGAAACAAGACACAGCACTCTTCTGACTACCAAGAAGAAACATTAACTACTTTTCCCAGGGTTGACTTAGCAGGAGCCTCTCAGTACTTGTGTCCAGACTGAAGGGCCTGCTCCAAGGCCTGACGTGCATTTCCATTTTGTCTCCCCCGACAGTGAAACACTGGCCCAGGGTGCCCAGAGCAGCTGTGGCTGCCCCCTCCCTGGAAGGGTTCAAGGCCAGGTTGGACGGGGCTGGGAGCCCCCTGGGCTGGGGGAAGGAGTTGGACTAGATGATCTTTAAGGTCCCTTCTAACCCGAACCATCCTCTGATTCTCTGATCCTGTGTTTTAGGTGCTGTTAATGAACGGCTAGCACCTGTTTGCAGATGAGAGCTGGGTTCTCCCTCCTTGGATAAGTATTTAAAGGACCTCAACAGCAATAGTCAGTGTCTCTCCCACAGCGTTGATTTGAGGAGAGAGCATTGACACTGAGTGTAAATCCCGGGGCAGAACCAGAGCCAGAGAAGGAAACCAGCCCAAACCCAAGCAATGACTTGAGCCAAGTTCGAATGAATGAGATCCTCCCTGCAGCTTTGGGACTCTGCCCCAGGTGCTAAGTGAGGAATGACAGGAACTGAAAAACTGAGCCCAACACTACTCTTCACTGGGAGGGGATAAAAAAAACAAACCAGTTTGATCTTAAATGAAATTTAAAGTTTATTTTCCAGCTCTGATTTGAGAGAAGTGCAGTATGTGATGCAGGAGTGAAACACCTGCTTGCTTTCAGTGTGAAGTTCTCCCCTCATCAGCTCTTTTCCCTTCATGTACATCAGGACTATGAGGTCTTTGTCTGAGGTTTTGCTAGACTTCCAGGAAAAGAAGAGTTGAACTTTGGTCCTTACTTGGTTTTCAGATTATTTTTGCCATCCAATGCTGTGAGTGCAGTGCCAAGAAGCTGCAAGAGTGTGACAAGCACACTCGCAAGCAGGAGGGGACCATGGAGGTCTGGGACAGATGTTGCTTCCAGTTGAAAGGACAGTTAAAAATGGATGAGAAAACCAGCAAAACCTAAAGCCACAACATTTTTACAATGTTTCTACAACCTTGGTGAGAAATTAGGTCAGAGTGAGCAGCGTGTTTGGCTGTACTTGAAGAAAAGGAAAAAAAAAAAAAAAGAAGCAGCTTCTACATTCTGACATGCAACTGTAAAAACGTGTTACTCAGTGGTTTGAGTCCTAGTTGGGGCTTAATGGCACCGGGTGAAGTACGTTGTCATGTCTCCTCCGAACCCCATCCCACCCCACATGTCCAACAGTGTCTGGACATGCTGGTCCCAAAGTGTCTCTGGCTGGAAGCATCTGTAATCCCAGCCCAGACACTGTGGTAATGCAGTGGAACAGAGTGAGATCTGTGTCTCAGGGCCCGGGGCTGGCATCTCAGTGGCATCGTGGTGGCTGCCCAGCTGTGTGCTGGTCTGGTGCTGTCATAGAGACCCATGGGTGACATCTGAGGACACAGCCCACGGCACAACAAAGGGGATTTATTCTGTGCCTGGGTCTGTCCTGATGGCATGCGAGCTGTTTGCCTTTGAGGAAAGTGGGTACCTTTCTGCAGGATCAAGGCAGTTGGAGGTTGCGCTGTGGATCCCCAAGGCTGTATTTAGCCTCTGGAATTAACCAGTGTCATAGAGTATTTGGAGGCTGGCTGGCTTCCAGAAACCAGAGGACTAGAAAGGAAAAATTGCCTGCATTTTGCGAATTGTCTTTTGAATGTTGCCATCAACGGTTTCGTAATCATGTTCAGCGCTGCTGCTCTCTGTGCCTGGAAGGGAAGAGAGCACAGCCTGCAGACACGCACTGCCACAGCCCCCATGCCCCTGCCCTCCCCACCTCCCTGCTCCGAGCCGCATGCTGACATGGTGGGGACCAAGGGTGGGGGGAGAAGGGCCTCTTGGGGTGTGCTGGCAGCTGCTCTGCCACTGCAGACACCAGCCTCTGGGGCCACTGGTACCCTGTGAGCTTGGGGTGTGGGAAGGCGTTCAATGGCAGATGGAGGCCAATATTGGCGGTGTTCACCGTGCCACTGCCCTTGAGGTCAAGCCTTGCTTCCCCTCGTGTCATGGTTCCCGTGTGGGTCAAGGGGTTGGCGTGGCCTCCCCATGGGTCCCCCTGTTTGTGGGATGAGGGGATGGGGCAGCTCCCCATGGGTCCCTCCCGCCATGTGTGGGCCAAGGGGATGGGGCAGCCCCTGTGGGCACCCCCAGCCTGTGGGACACCGGGGTCAGGCAATCCCCCCGTAGATTCCTCCTGCATCTGGGACAAGGGGACAGGGAGGTGCAGGCCCCCACGGGGGTCCAGCTGGCTGGGGCGCAGTGTCACCAGCTGAGCATCCCTGCCCCCGGTCCCGGCGAGGACAGCCCCGCCGAGGTGGTGGCCAGCAGCGCCCTCCCGTTAAGCACGACCTGCTGATGCTGCTGGGGGGGGGGGGGGGGGGGGCGCGTCCTCCCGCATGGGCAGCGCGTCTGTGGGCTGAGCCCCGCGGAAGGGTCGGGGCCCGGGAGGTGCCAGGGTCCTCACCTGCATCCCCGGGGGGTCCCCGCCGGCGACACGGGCTGGGGCTGGCGGGTCGAGGCAGGGCCGGGAGCGGCGGAGCCGGGCGGGCGCTCGGCGGCGGGGGGCGGGGGGCCGAGGGGTGCCTCTCCCCGGGGCCGGTCCCTGCCTGCGCCGGTTTGGGGGGTCGCGGGGGCGGCGGGGCCGCGCCGCCGGGCAGCTGGGCCAGCAGCCGGTAGTAGAAAGTCTCGGTCAGCTCTTCCACCCGGGAGCGGCGGGTGCAGGGGGCCGGGGGGCGGACGGGCTCTTCGCTCAGCAGCAGCGAGAAGTCCAGCCAGCGCGGCGGGATCTCGAAGCCCTCCCCCGGCTCCTCGCAGAAGCTGCCCACCAGGAAGGGCTGGTCCAGCCGGGCCTGCAGCCGCAGGGCGGGCAGGGAGCCCAGCGCGTCCCGCTCCAGCGCCGGGTCGGGGGCGGCCACCCGCACCTCGCAGGGCAGCGCCCGCCGCTCCAGCAGCTCCGCCAGCCCGTACTTCTTGCTGTCGCACGCCTCCTCCACGAACCCGCCGCCCAGGTCCAGCGGCAGCAGCAGCTCCTCTCCTTCCTCCTCCTCCTCCTCCTCCTCCTCCTGCTGCCCCCCGCTGAGGCGGCGGCAGAGCAGCCGGGCGCCGGGGCCGTTCCCCCGCAGCCCCCGCGCCTCCAGCCGGTCTCCCACGCCGAGCGGGGGCACGTCCCGCCCGCGGCCCTCGCAGTCCCGCGTCGTCACGACGCGCAGCCGCCGGCCGGGCTGCAGGGCGGCCGCCAGCTCCCGCACCCCCGCGAACTGCCGGGGCCGCTGCCGGAACCGGCCCCGGTAGGCGCTGGACAGCAGGAAATGGCGGCCGGTGCCGGGGGCCGAGGCCAGGACCCGCCAGGCGCGGGAGCGGCCGTGGAGCAGCAGCCGCTGCCCCCGCCGCAGCCGCCGCTCCCAGGTGCTCCCGAAGACGGCGGGACCGGCCGGAGCGTCCAGGACCTGGGCCCGGGCCGGCAGCGCGTCCTCCATCGCCAGCACCTCGCTCAGCAGCAGCGGCCGGGCGAAGCGGGTGTGCCGCGCCGCCTCCGTGACATCCTCCACTTCCACCTCCAGCGTGGAGGGGACCTTCACCACGTCCCGGCGCACTGCGGGGACAGAGCTGCCCTGGCCCCGCGCTCGGACCCGCGGCCAGCCGCGCGGAGGACGGGACCCCACCTTACCCCCACCCGCGGCCACCCCCACTCCGTGCCTCAGGCTCCCCGCACGGAACTCGCGCAGGCTCCCGACCCTCAGCACCCCCATCCCCGCCCCACAGCACCCCCGCCCTGACCCCCGGAGCACCCAGTCCTCACCCCGCAGCACCCCGCCTGCCCCACCCGGACTCACGGTGCATGATGGCGTGCACCTCGTAGATGGGGCGCAGGAGCAGGGCGTGGGGGCTGATGGTGGGGCACAGCAGGGGCTGTGGCCACCTCTCCCTTCGCCCCAGCACCTGGTGCAGCGTCAGACCCCGCTGCCTCCTGCCCTCCGGGAAGGGTCCCCGTGATGCCGGGGATGGCCCTGGGGCTGGGGCAGGCTGGAAAAGACCTGTGGGACAATGAGGCTGAGCCCGTGGGGTCTGTAAGGGGGCTCCCTGGGGAGGAGGGCACCCATAGGGTGTGGGCTTGGGCAGGGCAGCCCTGCTCACCCTTAAACGTCGGTGGCAGCTCCGTTGTCTGCCCGGTCTCCATGTCCTCACAAACAACCTTCAGCAGCTCCACAGCTGTGACTTTCAGCAGGTCACCCGTTGACAAGCAGCATTCATTGCCTGAGATCTCATACACGGACCCTGCAGGGTGAGGAGGGAATTTCCTCAAAGAAAATGCCTCTACCAGCATTTCATAGTATCACAGAATGCTTTGGGTTGGAAAGGAAAGGACCTTCAAAGATCATCTGGTCCAACCCCTCTGCCATTGGCAGGAACATCTTTCACTAGATTGGGTTGCTCCAAGTCCCATCAAACCTGACCTCGAACACTTCCAGTGATGGGATCCACAACTTCCCTGGGAAACCTGTTCCGGTGTCTCCCTACCCTCTGTTAGCTGTCCTTTACTGCTTCCTCAGAATACCTGCAGGTGGTTGGAGCTCCTGTTCAACACTCATGAGCTGTGGAATGAACTCAGGCACGTGAAGGAGTGGCACGAGTGGTGGCAGCAGGTAGGTGGCCCGGACTGGGCACAAAGACATGGTCTAGCATGCAGGGATGGAGTTAGGAAAGCCAACGCCTGCCCAGAGCTGAATCTGAAGGGCAACAAGAAAGGCTTCTACAAGTACATCAACAGCAAAAGGACTGCAGAAAACATGGGTCTGCTGCTGAATGGGGCAGGGGACCTGGTGACAAAGGGTGCGGTGGAGGCTGACATGTTCAATGCCTTTTTGGCCTCAGTCTTTACAGGTATGAGCAGGCTTCAGGACTTCCTCTGAGACCAGGGGAAAAATCTGGAGTAAGGAAGACCTACCCTTGGTGGAGAAGGACCAGGTAAGGGAGCACTAAACAGAGTGGACATACTTAAGTCCATGGGTCCTGTCGGGATGCACCCCTGAGGGCTGACTGTGAGATGACTCTCTATTATCTTTGAGAGGTCCTGGACAATTGAGAGAGGTTCCTGAAGACTGGGCAAAAAAGCAAATGTCACTCCTATCTTCAAGACAGGAGAGACCTTCAGGCCAGTCATGCTCCCCTCCAGCCCTGGGAAGGTGATGGAGCACCTAATTCTGGAAACCATTACCAGACACGTGAAGGATGAAAAAGTGATTGGGATTATTCAGTATGGCTTTACAAAGGGGAAATCATGCTTAGCCAACCTGATCACCTTCTACAATGGCTTGGTGGATGAGGGGAAAGCAGTGGGTATTGTTTACCTTGACTTCAGTAAGGTTTGTGGTACTATCTCCCATCACATCCTCATAGAGAAGCTAATGAAGAATGGACAGGATGAGCAGACACTGAGGTGGACTGAAACTTGGCTAAACAGCTGGGCCCAGAGGGTGGTGATCATGGGCACAAAGTCTAGTTGGAGGCCAGTCACTAGCAGTGTGCTCCAGGGATCAGTACTGGGTCCAGTCCTGTTTAACTTCTTTGTTAGTGATCTGGACAATGGGACAGAGTGCACCCTCGGCAAGTTTGCAGATGACACAAAACTGGGAGGAGAGGCTGATAGGCCGGAGGGTCATGCTGCCATCCAGAGGGACCTTGGCAGGCTGGAGGAACGGGCTGACAGTTCAACAAGAAGTGCAAAGCCCTGCCTCTGGGAAGGAATAACCCCAGGTACCGGCACATGCTGGGGGCTGCCTGGCTGGAAAACAGCTTGGCAGAAAACAACCTGGGCATCCTGGTGGACACCAGGTTGAATGTGAGCCAGCAACGTGCCCTTGCTGCAAAGACGGTGAACGGTGTCCTGGGCTGCATTAGGCAAAGGGCTGCCAGCAGGGCGAGGGAGGGGATCCTTCCCCTCTGCTCAGCACTGGTGAGGCCACACCTGGAGTGCTGTGTCCAGTCCTGGGCTGCCCAGTACAAGAGGGACACGGACATGGTGGAGAGAGTCCAACAAAGGGGCCAGAAAGATGATTAAAGGACTGGAGCATCCTTCATACGAGAAAAGCCTGAGAGCTGGAATGTTCAGCCTGGAGAAGAGAAGGCTCAGGGGGACCTTGTTAATGTCTATAAATACCTGAGGGTACAAAGAGCCAGGCTCTTCTCAGTGGTGCCCAGTGACAGGACAAGAGGCCATGGGCACAATCTGAAACGCTTGAAACTTCCTCTGAATCTATGAAAACATATTTTTTACTGTGATGGTGGTCAAGGACAGGGACAGATTGCCCAGAGAGGTTGTGGAGTCTCCATCACTGGAGCTATTAAAAACCCAGCTGGACAAAGTCCTGAGCAACTGGCTCCTGCTGACCCTGCTTGAGCTGGAGGTTGGCCTGGATGATCTCTTGAGGTCCCTGCCAACCTCATGATTTAGGGATTCCCATCACAGGTAGTCATGGTGTGTGCCATTAACAAATACCAGTTACACAGTGGGGCTTCCTTTGCTTGGCCCGGATGATCTCTTGAGGTCCCTGCCAACCTCATGATTTAGGGATTCCCATCACAGGTAGTCATGGTGTGTGCCATTAACAAATACCAGTTACACAGTGGGGCTTCCTTTGCTTGGCCCATTGTGGTGAGGTCCCCAGGGCAGTGGGGAGGGGGCTGAGCCATGGCCTGGCCCTGGCCACAGGCTTTGTTCTTTCTGCGACATAATCCAAGCCTGGGTGTCCTGGCACTCACGGGTGCACTGACATTCCTGAGGAAGCCCCAGTCCCTGTGGCTGTGGTGGGGCCAAGGAGCCCCCCCAAGCCCTGGGACTACAGAAAAGGCCATGAGGTGGGGGTGGAGGGTGCAGGGGAAGGAGGGCAGCTCTTCAGAGAAGGGCAGAGCTGGTCCGTGGGCTCAGCGGTGGGCAGAGGCGGGGCTGGCAGATTCACCTGGTGAGAGGGGCGAGCTGGTGCCTTTGGCCATGGTGGAAACGTTGTTTTAGGGCCCTGGCACGCACAGCCGCTCTGGAGGGTCTGGGCAGGACAGACAGAGCCAAGGCTGGACATGCTGTTGGAGGTGGGCTGGATGTTGCCACCCGAGCCACAGAGGGACGGGCACTGCTGCAGGCACTGCTGCACCACTGACCACTGCTCATCTGTGGAGCACAGCGGGGAGCAGCGGGCTGGGACTGGCTGGGAGAGTGCCCATCCCCCGGGAGTGGGGAGAACCTAAATAGCGGAAATAAATGTGAAAAAATAAACCAAGAGTGTTGGACAGGAAGAGGTAGATGAAAGCTAGGAAGTATCATAAAGTATTGCATGTTGTGTAAGCCCCAGTCCCCTTCCTCCATGTCCTGTCACACTGCCAGCATCGAGGGCATGGTCTGAAAAGGCAGGGAACACACAGCCAGGCTGCACTGCCCAGAGCACAGTGATGCTTCACACCCTGGGTGTGGAAACCTAGTTAACTCCACGCACACATGACATGGCTGGTCCCCTTGGCTGGCAGCAAGACACACAGACACACGTGGCTGTGGATGTCCTGTGCAGGACCTCCAAGAGCCCTTCAGCTCCACTGCAGCACCAAGCCAGAGCGGTTCTGCAACATAAAGCAGGAGGTGAGGAGTGTGTGGCTGGGAGAGGAGCCTGAGAAGGGACCAAGACCAGCAACAGTTTTGTTTAATACCTTGGGGACCCACCCAAGTTTTGATAAAAAAAAAGACTGAAGTGGTAACGTCTTCAGTAACGGCAGGAAATTCAGAAATGTTCAAGAAATATCGTCAGTGCAGGATGGCACATCTGCAAGGTGCAGCACTGATTCATCCCCAGTGCACTCTGATCTGCCTGCAATGTCCAGCACTGTTCACCAGCAGCCAAGGGAACATGCAACCAGGAGGTTGGCTGAGGGGTCTTTGTTGGGTTGATGCTTACTTCTAAGGAATCAGGAATACCTGGAAGCTTGTACAGCTCCTGTCCTGGAAAGCTTCCAGTGCTGTTAACTGTGGAGGGGCCATAACAGGGCAGAAAAGCAGTGCAGAACTGCACAATGGGAATGGCAGAAGGCTGAACTGATGTAACTCAGGTGAGGAATGCAGCAGGAAAGATTCAGTGCTTAATCACGCTGCAGTGTCTGGGGTAGATGTGCCTTTCCTGGAGCCAGAGCCTTTCCTGGATCAGGAGCTCCTCAGGCTATGCCACCACATCATGATACCTTCCAACACAAGCAATGCCCCCTTCTGACCTTAAATCTCTTCATTCACTGAGCTTCTACCAAATCTGTGCAGCCCCAAACTTCTCCCCTCCCTGGGATAACTCATGATAACTCATGACAAACCCCTTGTGAAGCAGAAAGCACCAGCTACCTCATGATGACTACTAGCAACTGCTGAACAAATTGACTGCTGCTGTTGGAACAGTGGCATTTTTACTTGTTTAGCAATGTTAAGATGTTATCAAGGCCACCAGAAGTCTTTGGGAAAGCTAACATCTACCCCAACTGAGCTACAGAAAAGTAAAGTGAGATAACCCCGACCACATCTCTGATTTTTAAAAGTCAGTGTAACCTAAACAAATGGTACAAATCCTACAAGTCTTGATGGTAATTGCCAATTGATGTTGCCAGGATCCTGCTGTGCATTCCCAGCATTTTTGGGAGCCTCAGAAATTGAGCATTTGCTAATTTCTGGTTTCATTTCACTACCAACATTGCCACCAGTTGAGGAAGCCATGTTGGTCAAGGCTTCTCCTCGACTTAAGATGTCTTCAGGGACGTAGTCCAGGAGGAAGCAGAGAGCTCAGACCAGGCTGCTCTCTGTGCCCTTGCTGGAGTCCTCTCACTGGGGACAGGGGCAATACCATCCCACCTTCCTCCTGCCACCGAGCATGTGGCTCCATCCCTGCCAGATCCACCACCATCAGGTAATTCTCTGCCTGGGATGAGAGCTATGCACGAAGTGGGGGAACCAGCTTGGGGGGTTTTTGGTGCCCCACCACTTTCCTAGCAGCATGACTGAGTGCACTGGGGCACTCAGCTGAGTGGGCACTGGGTGTAGAAAGTTTTTGCAAGAAGCTATGCCTTGGGCACCAGGGTCTTTCCCTGGGCACAGGCACCCCAGTAGCAGGGTGAGGTGGCACATCTTCAGGGCAGGAGAGGGGAGCCCAGGCTGCAGCAGCATGGCAGGGGGAGGTGGCACAGCGTTGAGGCACCCTTTAGAGGCAGTGGGAACTCAGCACTCACCTTGGAAGTAGACACCAGAGCAAATCCTGAGGATGCGGGGCAGGGTGGTGGAGTCCAGGGAGCAGATGTATTCCTGGAAGGAGAGGGCGTCCATGGCCATGCTGCTGGGTATGCCGGGGCACTCTGCAGAGACAGAACTGTGTGGGAAGGAGCTTTGGGCTCTGCTTTCGCTTCTGCCCGGCTTTCACTTCTGCTTCTGGTAGTGTCAAGTTCCTTCTCCGGCCATAGACCCATGCTGCTGGCAGTTCTCCAGCCTGCACAGACCGAACGATGTGCTGCTGGGGTAATCCTCTTTCTGGCCCCCATCACCCATCACAGCTTGGCGTACCCCAGTCCTGGCCTTGGTGGTACTGCTGGTGCTGAGAGTGGGTGAAGGCATGGACGCCCCAGTTCTGCTGTGGTGCTGTCCTGGCTGGACCAATGCTCCAGCCTGTCCTACCCAGGCTGACCCCATCACACACCTCTGTGTACCAGCCTGCCCTGTGCCTTTGTGTCTGGGGCCAGACAGAGCGATGGTGCCATGGAGCTGAGGGCAGGGCTTGGTGGACCACACCAGAGAAAGTGAAGGGCTGTGTCCAGACAGCCCTCACCCCTTACAGACACACTGCTCACCTCTGGGCTTTCAGGCCCCACTTGCCTCTGGCACAAACATCCCGGGCATCATGCCCTGGCTGGGTTCAGTGTGTGGAGGAGAGACTGGTCAGTGGGTCTGGACTGAGTGTCACTGTGGCAGCATCAGCCGTGGGAAAACCAGAGCCAAATTCCTGTGCCTCCAGGACGGGCAGCAGCACCCATCTCACTCTCCTGCAGTGATGGGCCCTGTCCTTCACCAAAGCAGCTGAGCATGATCCCGGGGCTGCCAGCCCCACAGGCTGTCAAGCTGGAAATGGCAGTTCTGAGAGCTGCTGCTCCTGATGAGCTTCATCTTTGTAAGGATTGCCCTTTAATTTGCCCTATAAATCAAACCGAAGCTGCAGGGTAGGAGCAGGAAGAATAGGATGGGACTTAATGTAGAAATGAAACTTGGAGAAGGGTATTTTTAAGTAGATGATGCAGGAAAAAAGTTTTTCTGTTTTGACTCCAGCTGTGGAAGTCAGTTGTAGTTAACAGGAATTTGTGTTTCCTCTTAGTTAATACAGGATGAAACAATCTGAGGGACAGAGTGCCCCTGGCACAAGGCAATTTCAGCATGCCACGCAGGGTGTCATAGCAGCAGGGACATCTGGAGGACTTCAGACCAAACTGGCACCTGGAGCTGGACTATTCTTGGCACCCAAGAAAATCAGATGTGTCAAGGTCTTGACAACCTACAAGGATGGAGACCTTCCACCCCTCTGGTGATCTGCCAAAGGGCTGCACTATCCTCCCAGAGATGATGTTTTCCTAATGCCCAGCCTGCATCACTGACACTGTATATGTGACCATTGGCCCTATCTTGTCTGCCATTGCTTTGAAGAATTTTGGCTCTACTGTTAGCAAAACTGTCCTTCAAGTAGTTGTGGGTTGCTATTAGATCGTCCTTCTCCTCTTCACCAGACAAAACCAGACCAGCTCCCATAAACACTCCTTGTAGGTTGTGTGCCCAGCCCCATGACCATCCTGGTCACCCTTTGGTGGTCCCCCTCCCACATTTCTTTTCTTGAACTCAGAGTTCAACACTGGGTCCACTATTCCCTGTACAGGCAGGCAACAGGGATAGCTTCCTTTGATCTGTGAGCACATGGTTTGCACTGTTCACAGCAAGAGAAGAGGTGTAGTGTTGTACATTTAAGCTGGGGGATATAGGGGAAAAGACACGGGAACTGCCCTGTATCAGCCTCCTTTGGAGGCTCTGTTCCCAGCAGGACAGACTGGCCCAGGCAGGCAGGCTCAGCATCACTGTGGAAGGTATCCAGGTGCTGAGCCTGTGCTGACGGGACACTGAAAGATTTACAGCTGGGCAGTGGCACACAAGCCCACATGGAACTAGATGAACGAAGCTAAAGTGGGTAGAAGAACCCAAGCAGTAGAAGTTTAGATGCCATCACTTTTATCATCATGAAATGGGAGTGGGACACAGCACCTGGGAGAAATACCCTTTGTACCAATAGCTGGGAAGAAAGTGTATTTTATTGTATCAAACAATGCCAAGAATCCCTGAAGGGCAGGACCAGACTAACCATGAGAGGTCAGGAAACTCTCAATATAGTATACAGAAGCCCCCAAACTTGCAGAACTTGTCCCTCTGGGGGTGTTTTGCTGTTTTAAGGCAGCGTCCAGGGAGGAGCTGAACAGATGTATTGCTCTGGAAGTCACAGGGTAAGTGGAAGAGTCAAGGGCAAAGGCCTCTGCACACCACCTATCTATTCCTCTGTTGCTAAACAGGCACTAAAGAACCAGCCATGTGCCTAGACAGTCCAAAACCCCATCAGCAAGGCTGACTCCAGGGCCTGTTTGCAGGGAACAGATGACTGTGCTTGTGGTGGGCATCCCTGGCAAACCAGGGCATGGATTTTGGTACAGCTGAAACCTATGTTTGCAGCTGCAGGAAGAGCAGCTGCTGATGCACTGGTCTAGTTCAGCACAGAAGAGCCTGGCCACAGCCACCCCTGCATACCTGTGTGCTGCTACCAGCCCGGGGAAAATGGGAGGTGGACAGGGGCCAGAAAGCATTAATTTGAAAATCAGTCATAGAAAAAGATGTCTAAAAATAAAAGGTCACTTCAGGAACCAGAAAAGTAGAGTGGCCTAAACTGGACAGCTCAGGAGCACATGGTTCATCTGGTTGTGGTTGGAGAAGATACCAAAGACTGTCTGCTCTTTGCTGAGGTTTCCTCCCAGGGACATGTGATAACCTGACATCAAGCAGAGCCAGCATGGAGGAAAGACCCAGCACTAGTGCAGTTTCCCAGAGCTCTGCTCAATAACACAATTCTGGGATGCTACTGGGCGCTGCCGGTCCAGCAGCCCCTGATTGCCAGGGCAGGCGAGGGATATAGGGAAACATGCTCAAGGGGGATGCTGACACCCCAGCTGCAGCGTGATTGTGAAAAGGCAGCTGAGAACGCAGTGTGCAAACCTCCAAGGGAAGTCTGGAAAAATAAAGGGGGTCATTGAGGTGCCTGAGCTCTGGGAACAGATACCATGAGCATGGCCAAAGAGAGCAATCATGGTCCGCTCAAAAGTCCCCCTGGCTCTTGTCTGAGGCCTCTAGGAGCAGGTCTCCAGGCTGCTGAGCTCCAGCAGCAAAGAGCCAGAGCTTGGCCACAGTGAGTCAGATCCAAGGAGGAAGCAGCGGCTCTTCAGGGATGGGGAAGAGCTGCAAGAAAAAGGGAGTGAGGAGAGGCAGAGACATGTTCAAGACAGCTCATTACAGGCCATGGGGCTGAAAAGCTCTGCTTTGGGGCCAACGATGCCTGCTATGCTCTCCTGGTAGCTTAGTCTTGAGCCTGATTTCATCAGGGGATGGTTGATGAGGTTGTTGCTTTGCAGCTACCCAGAAGCATGCACAGCAGACCTGTGAGGTTTGGGATGTCTCTGAGAACAACAGAGCAGCTGTAGGAGGAAAAGGCAGCAAACCTGTCAGGATTCTGTCATCCCAAACAGAGCTACAGCCTGGTGCTGAATAAATGGGTGTAACATTTTCAGTTCCTTCTGCTCACTACCAGGCTGGTGCCCACCTGACTGCTGTTCCTGTGAGGGGCCAAGCACAGTGATGCCCTCACAACTGCTGCTTTATTTCACATGCTAATCGAAACCAGCCCATCCCCTTCCACGAACAGCCCTCACTTCCCCACACAAAACAAGCACTCTGCAGGGGCTGAGGAAAGACCAATTCTTTTCCCACAGTAGACACTTCCACATCAGCCACCCAGGGTCTGCTATCAGGATGACTTAGGCTCAGGCTAGACACACGGTCCCTGGACTGAGGGTCCTCTTTTTGAGCACTGCCTCCACTGCTCTGAGTTCAAATTCAGCAGTGATCCCGCCCAGCAGGCTCCCCCTTCAGAGAGGTCCCTGTGACAGCAGGGAAGCATACAGGGATGCTCCAGTTCGGCAGCACCTGTAGCAGAAGAAACTGCTCCCCCCAGGAAGAAGGACCCTGCTCATTGCCAAGCCAGAGGAACTGTGCAGCAGAAAGGCCAAGAGGGAAACATCAAGATCAGAGGGCCCTGATGGCACTGCAGGCTCATGTACAGCACCTTGGTGATTCTGCCCACGCTCACCTGCTGAAGCTCGCAGGCGCTTCCCTGCCATTCACTGCCCAGCCCAGTGCTAACGCTAACCCAGCATAATTTTCCACTACACGAGACAAGTCCTTATGCTCTCCAAGGTCAGCGTCTGATATAGGACCCAACCGAGATGGTATCTCCCTGTAAAGGGACCCTCTCCTCCTACTTCAAGCAACCATGTACCACCATGGAGCACAGCAGAGAGTGGTGGATGAGCCAGGACCCATGAGCGGTTTTGTGTCTTACCCTGCTGAGGCTCTAACAAGGGTGAGGATGGACAGCAGTAGGAGCAGGGGACTTACATCAGAGGAAATTGCTACTTTCTGCTTCATGCAGTAAGCCAGGAAACAATGCAATTGCTTTTTTCCCCGCCTCCAGTTGTGCATTTCCCTGAGCAGAGCAGAACACACTCATTGTTAACATCATGGACAAACACAGATGGAAAATCTGCTGGAAATGGTTTGCAAATCTTCAAATGTTGAATTAGGTATGTTGCAGCATGCAACCGTAAAGCCTGTATCTTAGTACAACTAGTTGTGTTCTGCATACTGAGTAACTGAGATAAAGTCGTTAAGAGACAACAAGAAAAACATAAACCCTAGGCCCAGTGATATCAAATGAGGAAAAATTGATGGCTAGCAACTGCCACGAGTCAGAGGGCTATTATCAGTTCCACACAGTTGCTTTTTGAAAAAGACAGGCTGGGTAGAAATACTTCTTTTACTAGAGATTGGTTATTAATGGAATTAGTTATTCCTTTTCCTTCCTACCCTCACCCCTTCCTCCCCCCCAAAAAAATTCCAACCCACAACTCAAGAGGAAGCAATGAGCACACAGCAAACAATTCATGTAAATCCCACAGTTTCTGTGCTCCTAAGCTGATGACTAAGCATAACAAGGG